ATTATGATATTGAGCATACGACCACGCCGGGCTGGTCGCATGTTGAATTAGTCGTGCTTACATGTGGATATGGATCTATCCCCTTCGGGTCACCCTCTCATGTTTCTCTCTTGATGGTGTACATGCAGATATTGAGGAAAACTGATAAGTGGTTTGGTATGGATATGGAAAGGTTGAGGAAATCTGGCCAGTGTTTGTTTGAATTTTGCATTTTATCTTTACTTGCAATTTCCGTGATTAATTACCTAATTTAACTGTATATCATCTCTATATATTGAATATTGACTTAACAGGGTATTTGAGTAATTGTACATATACACACACAGGTGCTTCTTCTTGTGCTTTATGACTTGATTTTATTATTGTTCTGTACTTGTTAAATGATAAAAATCTACAGGTTATAGCTAGTATCATTTATAATCCATGCTTCTTTTACCTCGTCGAGGTTAGTTACGATACTTATTGAGTATATTGGGTCGGTTGTACTCATACAAGACTCTGCACTCAATTATGCAGATCCAGGTGTGGGGACCAGTTATCAGCAGTAGATTTATTTGTTGGACCTAGCTTCGAGAGGCGAGGTAGAGCTGCATCCTTCGCCGCAGTTTTGACTTGTCTTTTCTTCTGTATTGTTATTTTAGTTCAAACAGTAATGTTATTTAGTTTTTCATACTTGTTCTCCGTTGTAGAGCTCATGACTCTGTATTTACCAGTTTCTAGGGAATTTACCTTGTATTGGCAGTATTTTGTTACATTGAGGTTTTAGATTTATGCTATTTCTATAATTTATTATGTGTTCGGGTTCTTTATTGTTTTGTTTCGGCTTGTCTAGCCGGTGTGTTAGGCGCCATCATGGCGGGTTGGAATTTTGGGTCGTGACAATTCTGGTGTCGCAGATACCCTACAAAATCATTGGATTTTGCACAGTCACACCCAGATGTGAGCACTAAAGACTCAGACTCATCCCAAAGGTCTTTAATATTGGAGTAATACACTGAGATAGAAGAAGTACATTGACTTAAGGTTGTAATTTTCTTGTGTAAGTTGAAGCTACGAGTATCATTCACCTTGTCAAACTGCCCATGTAGATCCATCTATACAGTGTGAGCATTAGAGGCATATGCAGTGCCACTAATGAGAGCGAGCAAATAAATTCATCAATCAAGAAAATACAATCATGTTTCACCTTTCCCACTTATACTAATATTTCTTATTAAATTGCTCATTTTTCCTTCTGTCATCGACCAGCCCAAGCTTATTGCAACCAAGTAAAGCAATTCACATAGATTGATATCACAATAAAAAATTAATACCATTCAACTCAAATAAAATCATAGAAACTCCACTAGTATCACCGAGCCTAAATACAATGGATGAGTGACTGCAATAATGACTCATTTAGATTTATCATCAGATGACACTTGTGAGGCAACATCAGTAGTAGCAATCGTATTCCCCTATCTAAATTGTCACCCGCCATTAGTGAACAACTCTAAATTTTAGAGTGAGAATTGAGAAAAATTAAGACGAAGAGGATGAACAAAAATGAGAAAAGAGGTAGAAGAGAAGAATCGGATCAATCCACGAGCTAGAATGCGAAGCTCGTGGCTCTGATACCATGCTGAAACTTAGAGATTGAGGAGAATAGAACCCTAATCATGGGTAAGAAGAAAGAAAATGAGAGTTGTCATCTATTAGAAATGGAGAGGCAAAATAAATATTATTTTGATCCACTAACTTTTACATCACTTACACACACACATACACTAATCCACTATCATGTGTTAGCTAACTACCAATCAGCTACAGGATTAACTAACTGCTAACCACCTAACTAATTCAAATGTACATTAAATAGATAAAAATATTCCCACGCTCAAGTCACTCTTTTTGTCTTAACAAGCAGAACTTGCAGAAGTGAGCTATACATTTTTGTGAGGAAGAGAAACTTAACTCAGAAGGAAAAAAGAGAGATTTCAGAAAATTCATAAATGGTAATATTGAGGTAAGAAATTGTATATTGATTTTCCTCTTCTAAAAACTTGCATGAGTATGTGTTGTTCCACAACTACTCGTATTACGTCATCATATATAGAGGTGCAACTCATATTAAAGCATATTTTGACTTACTATCCATTTAAAACCCTTTTGTGAAGGATGAGATTAAACGAATTGATTATGGCGCTTAATTAGGCTTGATTTGGATTAATTTTATTAAAGTTACATTTGTAGTAGTGAAGTAATGGATGAAGAGGGAAAGAGAGGAGTTACCACTTACCAAGCCATCTAATTAATATTAGTAATACAAAATATAAGAATTTTGTGTTTATGATGGAAGCTCGTGTAACAAAAAGTTCACATATGAGTACATAATAATTTCTGAAGTCTTTTACACATCTTAATGATTATGAACAATATGTAAATAAATTCCACCAAACCAAAGGAAAATTAAATAGTGATATCTAGAAGCAAAATAACCACCTCTTTTTTAGGAAGAAAAAGGAACCCTTAGATTTTAATTTGTGCCGAGATCCATAAGGATTTACGTTATATGCAGTGTTTTAAAAGGCGTTTTTGGGGTGAGCCCTGGGGCGAGGCGCACTAAAAACGCCTCGAGGTGATAGTGTGGGGCGAAAGTCTCAAGAGGCGTACGGCCAATAATTCGGAGCGTATGCCCGGGCGTTCAGGGCGTATGCCCGGGCGTTTGAGGTGCGTTTGTTTAGTGATGCGTAAGACCCAAAGACCTTTTCAAATTAAAATAAAATTTGTTGAATAAGTCCTTCATATAATACCCAAATTCTCAAAAGTCGGCTTGGTAATTACTCAAAAATTTTAAAAAGAAACTGAAATGTATTAAATTTAAAAGTCAAGACCTTTTTTTATTGATTGAAGCCCTAATTCATGGTCTTTTCCAATTTTTTATCTTGTCCGCTAGTCTGCTAATATCTCCCAAAAGCAACAAATATTCATTTTATTTTACAAATACAAATAGAACTCCATTCCCCTTCATAGCAGCAAGTTCAAAGTTCAAATTACAGGTTAGTCATTATTTTTGTTCCTCCATGTAGAAAACTTTATTCTTTTCGACTCAAGTTACTTGTGTTTCTATAAATAGCGTATAATAGATTGTTTTGACTAGTTTTTTGTACGGATGGAACATATCTCTCTCTCTCTCTCTCTCTCTCTCTCTCTCTCTCTCTCCATATATATATATATATATATATATATATTTCACATATTTATAGTTTTCTTTAATTTTTATGCAATTTTACCTGTTTATAATTATTTACTATAATTATATTATTTTATAAAATATTAAAAATTAAATACTTATGGGGATTACGCCCCGTGCCTCGGGGATTACGCCTCGCTGAGGCATATGTAAAATGTCTCGCCTTACGCCCACGCCTTTTAAAACACCGGTTATATACACTAATAACATTAGGTTAACTTAACTAATAGTAGTAGGCCACTTTTCTATTTTCCAGGCTATCATATCAAGTTTGCTATGAAGATTAACTATTGTTATAGTTAAACTTAACCGGATATTTTTAAAATTTTATACATTGACAATGCACATAACTTACTCATAAAAATCTCAAATTTCTGAAAATAAAAGTACTATACGGCAACAACACATATAGGAGTAAATTGCAATAAAAATTATTAACATTCAAAAGGTTTGGAACTTGTGGCATTTTTTAATCTTAAATATCTTTGTAATTAGAGAGCAAAACATATTGATATGACCAGAATTAAAGTTGAACGAGTTCCAGGCAGTGTTTTAAAGGGCGGGAGCCTGAGGCGGGGTGAGGCATAAGCAGAGGCGGACTCAGGATTTGAGCGCTACGGGGGCGCCACCGCCTTTAGATATGTCAACTATACCAGATCGCCTGCAGAACTTTCATGTTTTGAGCGGGCCAAGTAAAATATATTAGGGGTCCTCACTTTATATATACATATACTATATAATAGATATATACAGGGTTTTTGCCTAGATTAACGGGGTCCCGTGACCTCTCAACTACTAGGGTAGGTCCGCCTCTGGACATAAGCCCGAGATAGGGACGCAAGCCTCATGGATAATAACATAAAAAATTTTAAAAAGTACATTAAATTTTTTAATAAAATTAAAGAAATAAAAAGAAAATAAAATATCTAGCATGTTGTTTACAAGTATAAATAATGCAATAATATTAAAGTTATTATGGGATACAAATCAACTATAACATCGTAACTTTTAAACAATTCAAAAAAATTACAATTTCTTAAAAAAACATTATCGAACTACACATTTTACTTCCCTAAAAAAATAATCAATATCAATATTATAATTTAAAACATTACTCCTTCATGAATAAATAGACCATTACTTTCAAGTATCAAAATAGTAAAAGTCTATAATTTTGAGAAATATATGAACTAAGACGTGACCCATTAAAGAGCTGATTCGGGCTTGAGTTCTAACTGGGTTATATTGTAGGACAGAGCTCGACTAAGCTCGGCTCAGTAGTGTAACAAGGTTGAGTTCGGCATAGGCTTGGGTCGGGTCGACGACCAAGCCACATGTACATCCATATATATTTATATTTTAATAATTTTAGGAAAGGTAACTGTAATTTGCCGTTTTGGAATCATGGCTGGAGACGGAATTAATTAACTAATGGAAAACAATACTTGGAGACCTTTTTTCGTAATTTGGAAACTTTCCTAAAACCTATCCTAGACCGTATGGGAAACAAAAATAACGAGTCACAGTTTTCATATTAAAAGAGGCCGTTGTTATTCTGCTCATAACCGGAGACAGAATTAATTAACGGAAAAAAAAAAAAAGAGTTTGGAAACTTTCCGATATTGTGAAAATATAGGAATCCTATACCGTCTAGGAAACAATTTTCCATATTAAAAAGCAGTTGTTATTCTGCTTATAAATAAAGGAGACAACCTGAAGCTTTGCATTTATACTTCGTTCTTGGAAAGTAGAAAATTCACAAATTCTAATGGCCGTTCTAATGGGCGAAGAAATGTTGTTGTGGAAGAGAGGCAAAACTGTGGGCAAAGGCAGCTTCGGTATTGTTTCATTAGCTTCCACGTCCAACTTGCATGATCATTTACTTAATGGGGTTCCTCTTCCTTTTCAGATTGCCGTAAAATCTTGCAAATTCAGTGGTTCTCGATATCTACGTGCAGAAAGTGAATTCCTACGCATGTTTCAAGAATCTCCTTACGTAATTCGCTCTTTCGGAGTTAATGTCACTCAAGAAAATGGCGTGATTCTTTACAACTTATTGCTCGAGTATGCCTCCGGCGGAAGTCTAGCGGATCGTCTTGAAGCGGACATGAATTCAAGAAAAGGGCTTGCAGAGTTTGAAGTTCAGAAGCACACGAAGAACGTCCTTTTGGGCCTAAGTCACGTTCACAGCAAAGGAGTTATCCACTGTGACATAAAGCCACACAATATTCTTGTTGTGGGCACCGATAGAATTGCCAAGATCGCAGATTTTGGACTTGCCATGACTTTGGAAGAGAGCAGGAAAAAAAAGCACGGAATCAGGGGAACATACAGGTATATGGCACCAGAATCCGTGATTTACCACGAGTACGGAACAGAGGTTGATATTTGGGCTCTTGGCTGCACTGTCTATGAGTTGCTTACAGGGACACCGCTGTGGGAAACAAGTTCAGACATCAATGATGTAAACGCTGATGTGTTATATAAAATTGAGTTTGAGAAACCCAAATTTCAGAATGCAAAGTTGTCAAAAGAAGCACAAGATTTTCTGAAAAGGTGTCTAGTCAAGAATCCTAGGTCACGTTGGACTGCCGAGATGCTCTTGAATCATCCTTTTCTGAAGTCTTCCTATGTCCAGCTAACAAAGAAGCAAAGTGACATGTCCCTTTTACGCAGAATATTTAAGACACTGCCACACATTCGTGATTTGATTAAAGCAAGATTGATACAATAATGAGAATGTATCTGAAGAAATTAGAGAGGAAACGGCTACTAGGTAGGGACAATAGATAGATTGATGAATTGAAAACTGATTTGTAATATATGTAAATAACTAAGTCTGGACTAGATCACTCTTAAGGATTTGTTGGGGGGCACCTAGGGAGCCTGTGACCAAAATGATCAGGGTGTAACCCCTTGTTAGTTTAGTAAAAAGTACTGTATATATGTTTATAGTTGATCAACTCTCCCTACAAAGATAGGTGACTTATTGTGTGTTGTTCTTGGCCATCAATCAATTTTGCAATTCATGCCTCAGTAAACTGATATGTTGAGCTATATTCTACTTCTTTGATTATGTAAGTATGTCTTGCGGTCCTTTGCCTGCATATGAGGTTTCCAGTGCATCGATATAATCCACTAAATTAGGAGCATTATCTTAATGCACGAATCTCAGGTAGAATGTTAATACTTGAGCATGGAACTTACACTTTCAATCTCTTACTGCCAATTAGCANGGTTCAAAAGTCATTATGCAATCCAATGCAATCAAGTCTCTAGACACGATTTTACTTCAGTTGGTAGGTGGAGTATAAATAATATGAAGAAACTATGTCTATATTTCAAGTTTCAATCTCTGAGGACGAAACATTTCTCAAGCTCTTTGACATTGACATCCTCATTGCTTTGTAGAGCTCACTGTTATCACTCCGAAACTCTTTGATATTCATGGCTTTGCGGTCCTAATGATTTGTTTTTTCTATTATGCTGCTTCGACTACCCCTGTTCAGATCAGCTGTAAAATGTGATCAAACTGGTGGGTTATGCATCATATTATTTGGAGCTTGCTGACTGCTGAGACGTATTGCTGAACATTTCACAACGCTGTTTTGACTAAGGAGATTTTGCACATTTATAATACCCATATCGACAAATGAGGCTTGCTCAGTTGGTAAAAAGCACCTCCGCCTACGACAGTTAGGTCCTGGGTTCGAGTCACAGTGGAGGGGAAGTGTGGAGACACTATAGATCCTCCTAATTTGGGAGGGGTTAAAAAAAAAATACCCATATCTTGTAATCTTTTCAGATTACTGTTACTTATAGACTTGAAAGTGTGCATTATTGCCAGAGCTCATTTGTATAGGCAGGAGAACTTCGCGAGGTTGAGTTTTGAAACTGAGCGTGTTTTATATATCTGTTTTTCGTTCTCTTGATTTCACTTTTACGCGCTCTACTTTGCTGGTTTACTGGAGATCTGGGGCTAAGTTCGATGATTATTTTGGCAAATGCTAACACAAGAATATGAACCGGGGAGAAAGGGAATTCTGATGTAATAGAAGAAACAGTATTTCATCAAAAGACATTGTTAGCAATAGAAATTTATCTAACATAGTGAAATTGGTGTTAAAATCAATTGGCCTAACCTTTATTCTCTGGAGCCCAGGTAAATACTCTTAAAATCGATTGGTCAACGTTTATTATCCTTAAGCTATGAATGCACAAGAACTTAACGTCATTTCTATCTCTCAGCATGACCACGTTCCAAAATTTTCCTAAGGACAAAAGGAGACGTCGTACAAACCCCTCTTTCCCCATACACTGCGCCAAAAAATAAAATCCTATACGGGAAACAAACATCATTTGTCCATACCACCATTATGGTTACACGACATGGTAATTCTCGGTAGCCAGCAGCATTCTTTGAGAAAACTTGGGAGCAGACCCACCTTTCAATGGCAGAATGTTGGCAACCTGAAAATTACAATGAATCAACATATCAACCAACTTTGATGGACAATATTTAGTAACCTATTGGAGATAACTTTGGGCAACATCAATTGCATAAATTCACAGTAAACTCCCTCAACATTGTAACTGCATTCCACCCACAACCACAGGATTTCTTTGGGAAAATACACAAGAATGATCCTTGAACAGACATAAGAAGGCTCATGCAAAGAAATCAAAATAGGAAAGAACATGAATCTGAAGTATAAAAGAATATTGATAAGTATCAAATTATCCAGACACAAATAGCCCAAGCAGGTAAGCAGAAATAGTGCATATATTCAGCAACCTAACAGCTGAAAAAGGAGCGTCACAATATGTGTAGAAACAGGTGCAAACCTTCAGGTCACTGAATGTTCTTGAGGCAGTAAAACGGGCAGAAATTGGGAAGAAGACATCAGGATCTGCTGCTGGAACAACAAATTCCAGTGATCCACTGCAAAGTTTCCATTTCCACATTAAAGTTACAAATAAGTACTAGAGATCAATCGCATGCTTCAGTACAAAAACAAGTTTCGACATAAGCTAACCTGCGATTAGAATTGTCAATGAGAACTATAGACCACTCCAGAACAGAATTTCTGGAATCATACCTGCAATTAATGGGAGAAATTATTGAATCTTAATAGAACACTTGATCATAGGAACAGAAGTCCCCAGCAGTTCTCTCAATCAATTGCAATACTTATACAGTTTTGGTCATATTCACTGGATTGGGTTTGCCACTACTAGGTACAAACTACAAACCATGGATAGCAGTTACAGAGTCTGGTTGCCAATTTTGACTATATGTGTTTATATTGCACTTCTTTCATTCACATTTTGTTCTAAAAGTGTAATCATGCCACTCCAATACAGCTTTAGCTGCATAACTTCACTAAAGGAAAAATACATCTGCAACTGGTGCACCTACTACAATAAATTCACTATTTCAGTTCTCTGTACAACTCAAATTCACTAATGAAGCTTAACAATTCGATACTCAAAACCAATATTCACACCAAAATTGCCTTTTTTATCATCCGTAGATAGTTTATACACAGTGCAACAAGATAGATACAGAATACCGTTTCTTCATCGAGGAAAGAAAGGGGAATTGATGTTCGGAATTGAACAAGAATAACCAAATCACACCCATCCCTCCCATTAAAGAACCACAATAAGTGGGAATTTTCCAATCTCCAAAAATCTTCTCCCAGTAACCTAGGGAAACAGCCTAACCAAAATTGGGGAAAGCAGCAGGTGATACACTATGTACGCACCACACAATTAAATTAAACATGAAACCACTTCCTTGTCTTGACCGTATGATACAACTGACTTAAAAGGCACTACAGAATTTGCAAGCACTCAGATATATATTTACAGCTTTGTGTAAAACCATTTCAGCCTTAAAAGCTCTATTACATTGAGATCTGTTCAAGCATTGGTCCTAATATCCACAAGAATTTATCTTTGATATGAAAGGGTACTACTTTTAATAACAACCGAGTGGTAGAGTAATGTGTGAAGTTAAAATCTCACCTCCACTCTCCATCAATCTGCTGTATACGTGGGGCCTCCCTGAGAGCTGGGAGAGGTACAGAAATCACGGCATTCTGTAGATCAATCTGTGCTGGGGTTTCATACTCAATATTCACATAGGTTTCATTCCCAGAAACTGAAGGCCAGCAGTTAACTGAAAAAAGTTGAAATTAATTATAAAAGATTAAACATGATTGAATTGTAAAAGATGAAAAAACAGAGATGTAGACAAGAACAACCAAATATCACGATGCTTACTAGTTAAAGGTAAAATCGACTCATCTGCACTTTGCATTCTCCACTTCAAGAGATTAACACCGTCACCAGATTGATTAGCAGGAAAAGGCCTATTAGGATCTTTGAGGCCTAGAATATTTTCATTAGAAAATAACTCCTTATTGATATTTGGGTGTGTTTTGAAGAGGATGGCTGGATTACCACTGGTTTCAACCTGAACATATAGAATCAGATGACAAAAACATTAAGTAAGTTACCACAAGCAAAACCATCAAGATTATCCCTGCCTTCTGAGATCAGATAGGCCTGCAAACTGGGAGCTACAGAGTCATGTTTAAACACACATTTCAAATTGATATGGGCCTAGTTGAGTCTTCATCTTTGTTGGCAAGTGTTAAGCCTAGAAAAGGCATTGCCACTGCTCCTTAATGAAGAAGAAGTCATTCAAAAGAAAGAAGCACATGCAAACTTCACTTGGCTTTACACCCTCCAATTGCTTCTTAGTCCCATGTCTGATGCAAACGATTCAGAAATATGAGAACCGTTGGTTAGCTTCAGAAGGAACATACAATAAATTTATTTTCCCAAAGAGGTAAAAATGGAAGGGGCAGACAAAAATCTAATGTTGACACTACACATTCTGCCTGTAAAATATGCCATAAGCTGTCTAAAGATGACTATGGAAAGAAAACCAGAGAGAATTGGTATGCAAATGAAGATACACAAATGGAAGGGGCAGTCAAAAATCTAATGTTGACACTATACATTCTACCTGTAAAATATGACACAAACTGTCTAAAGATGACTATGGAAAGAAAACCAGAGAGAATTAGGATGCAAATGAAGATACACAAATGACACATACTTGGTACGCAAAGGACTTTTATCATCAGCATTAACGCTCCCGATGAAAAATATGAGAAAGAAAAGGCAGACAAATGCGTGGTCAGGAATCATGAATTCCATCTAGACTAATCAAAATAACAATCCGATCCAAAACCATGACGGCCTGTAACTATATTCTGAGTTCACTTGATTCAAGTAGAAACTTAATAGATAACTTAAGTACCCTGCCTTCTATAGAAGTTCTATTTACAAACTACAAAAAGCAAGGTACTGACCAGGGAATGAGGATACAAATCAAAGGAACTCATGGACAAAGTATTTTACAAAAGAACAGGACACAATACATTAGGGCACAGTAAGATGTAAATAATATAACATCAATACACTTTATAATATTACAGGGCATCATGAATATATGTAATAATTCTTAACTTCTACAAAACACTATACCGTTCACAATAGAACTCAGAAGAATGCATCTACAGCAATTTCATTATATCCTTCAATACAACCATTATTTGACACACAATTCTTAGAAAGAAATACTTTCTCATAAAAAATAAAATAAAAAATTAAAGTAAGCAGTTTCCTAGATGGATCAAGAAGCAATAAGTAATACTT